TTTCTCTTTATTACTGAAACAGGAGAGCATCTATTATGATGAGCACTTGAATTAAGTATCCACACCTGGGTGCAGTTCCTCTTGGGAAGACACAGGTAAGGCTCTTTATCTCTAACTGAAAAGGAATGTGTTCCTTCCAGTTAAAGGGATTTCAGGCAATTGATAAGAAGTGCTGAGTATTAGTTTACATAGTTCTGGGGGGCAGGGTGAGGATGGGACAGAGGTGGTTTTCCAAATCCCTAAAGCAGGGCTTTGCCTCAGGTTTGTCTTGAAGTAATTCAGCTTTTGGGTGCCTTAGGTTGTGAGGATGAATCAGGTTGGATAACAAGGAGTATGAGCTAGCCCTTCTTTTTTTTTTAATTTTTAAATTTTTTTATTTAAAAATTTATTTCTTATAAAACATTTATTTTAAATTTTTTTATTTTTTTTAAATAAAAACTTTAAATTCCAGTTAGCACAGTGTAATATTAGTTTCAGGTGTACAATACAGTGACTCAGCACTCCCATACATCACCCAGTGCTCATCACCCCAGGTGCCCTCCTTCATCCCCATCACCTGTTTCCCCCACCCACCTCCCCTCTGGTCACCATCAGTGTTTCCTCTGTAGTTAAGAGTCTGTTTCTTGGTTTGTCTCTCTTTCTCTTTCCTTTCAGCTCCCTTGTTTTGTGTCTTAAATTCCACATATGAGTGAAATCATATGGTATTTGTCTTTGACTGACTTATGTCCCTTAGCATGATATTCTCTAGCTCCATCCATGTCTAGAAGGGCACTAACCCTCCTGTTTTTAATTTCTTAAGTCAGCCTCTAATTACTGGCCTCCCAGCCTCCCTTTTCTCTCCTTTAAAATTGCCCTTGGACCTGCTTTATTTACCAGAGCCTCGGGATTGTCTACTGCTCCTCGATGCATTCTCACACCAGTAGTTCATAGAAACTCTCTGAGGCTTTTTCGTCTCCACGATGTAGACTAGGATGCAGGGAGCAGCTGTTCAAAGGATCACGCAGATGAAGGACTGGGAGGGAGTAACCCGTGGAGCCTCTGTCAGGGAGGGAGACAGCCTTTCTGTGCCCTGGGAATTTTGTCTTTAAACATTTGTTCTGTTCCTCAACTTGTCCAATCTCTCATTCACGGATTTACTCATAGAGATCATTCAAGTTGTTTGCACTGTCACTGCGGCTTCTAGATCCAGACCCCAACCTAGTGTTGTGGCTTCTACCCCTGTCCCTCAACATGGCATGTCCACCACCATAAAGTGGTTAAACAGATTAGATCATGCCACTTTCTCAAGTCGGACCGCCGGTTCTCAGGTGTTAACATGCATTAGAACCACCTGCAGGTTTGTTACAACCCAGATGGCTGGACCCCACCCCCAGGGCTTCTGACCCCATATATCCCGTGCTTGCAGAGAGTGGCGTTTCTAGCCGGTTCCCAGATAACCTTGCTGACTGATGCTGTGGGGCCAGGTATTACGCTGTGACATCCCTGCTTTCAACCATGTCATGACTTACTGTGATAGACCGAAATCTGAACTGTTCCTGTGATCTGCCTTCACTCACCTCTCTGCTATCCCCTCCACTTCCCCTTTCACTCCCTGCCTGCCCGGCCAGGCAGCTGTGGGTTTCCCAACTTCTGCTTAGCCTCAGGGTCTTGGCATATACCATTCCATTTTCCTGGAATGGTCCATCCCCATGTGTGCATGGGTTACTTTTTTTATACGTTCAGGTCTCTGTTTAAATGTCATTATCTTCAGAAAAATGTACTCTGGCCACCCAATCTAGAGAAACCCTCCTTCCCCTACTTCCATCTCCAACCCCGATCATTTTGTGTTCTATTCCTCTCTGCTATTACTTTTCATAGTGCTTATCAGAGTTTGTTTTGTTGACTTATCGAAATGATTTAACTCTGTGTTCCTATGCCTTTGTAATTGCTTGGTTCATAGGAGGGACTTACATGGTTTTTTGGGGCGAGGGGGGAGTGAATAAATGAAAGAAATGCACCCTGGAGGTAAATACATGGAGGTATGTGTACAGTGGATAGAAGAGTAGATTGTTCTTGGAAGGGGGTATAAAAGGAGGGCTCGAAATACTCTCCAGGATCCATTACATTTCTAATGCCAAGAGCCTTTCCTGTAGAGCATACATATTACTGATTTGCTTAATTTCTCATTTATGCTTAATGTTTTGCCGCTGTGTGTCAGATTGACTTCGTGGTAAGTTTCTTATATTTTTATTTTATTTATTTTTTTCTGTAAACTGCATGAGTGCACTCACCCAAACAGCGTCCTGGTCCTGTGGCATCGTCTTCTTGCCTCGATGTAAAGTGAGGTAAAGGGGCGCTGAGCGTACATCTTCGTGTACGTCTCTGTAACTCAGGCTTCTAGGGGATGGGCTCGCTTCCCGGACAGTGTGGCTTGGAAAGAACAGTGGGAAACAAGAGGGGTAAGGGGGAGGCAGGCCGGGTTCACCTTCAGAATTCAAAGGCACCGGGATTGAGGGAAGTCTGGTTTATGAGGACTCTCTCCTCTGATGTCATTTTTGCCATTATGCTGTGTCCCTGTGCATCTTTGTCCTGTGGTTTACAGCCGAGGGCTGGGAAAACGTGCCTTGGGAGTAGACCTACCACAGGGCAGATTTACTAGATTTAAAGTCAGATTCTGCTTTTGAATGGTTTAGGGCACTTGCCCTAACCTCCGCGAGCCTCCGTTTTCTCATTTTTAAGATGGTAGTAATAGCAGGGTTGGTTGGGCTGACGTTAAATGGAATGATAATGATAACCTCAGGTCACAGAATCATGTAAAGTACTACAGTGATTAGTACACAAAAGTCCTCAATGTGTTCACTGAATTATTATTATTGCCACTCTTAGTCTCTGACTCCTCCGTACCTCACTGTTGGATTGTCTTCCCCTTTGCCCTCCCTCTGCATTATTGCCCTGTGGTCCTTGAGTCTGTAGAAGTTTGGAATCCTTTGTTTACCATCAGGAGCTAAACATGCTCCGTTCGTCTTCTAGCTGCAGCTTCTTGTCACAGTTTGGATTTTTTTTTTCCTTCATCTACATTTCTGCGTCTAGAATGCCTCACCAGCCACTCTCACACGTGTTTATACCGCGAGACTCCCTCCCCGTCCGGTGCTCCCGAGGATGGATTGGGATTAGGACAGTGCAGACAAAGCAGAGATGTCTTTAAAACTATGACTGGAAAACACATGATAATCCAGCTTCCTGGGATGTAATGTTCAATCATTTTATATTTTAAAAACTGAAGTATGAAGAAATAGGTGTTCAGAATCATGCCACTCATTTTGTCCTTTTTTTTTTTTTTTTTTTCAAGCATAAGCATCATTATGCTCATCACAGGTGGGCCTGCTGCCAACCTCCTATTAGTTTGGGACAACATTTCCTATAGTCATCTAAAATTAAATTCTGTTATTCCAATTATCACTGTGGGCCCCGTGTTTGTTTTGTACACAGCCAACCTTCTGTTCTTTTTTCCTTTGCACAATTGAATAGGGATTAAGCTACAATAATTTCCAGAGAACACGAGAAGTGGGTGAACCCTGATTATTCTGGAAACAAACTCGAATGCTGTTTTATGGTCATGGTCAGATTGTGTAGCTCTACAGTATTTTATCTAGAAAGTGATCTAGCTTCTTCTTCATATATTTACAGAGAATATCTATCTGAATGAATGAAAACAAGGTTAGGTAAAAGCTATTATTGATCACTCTTTTTGAGGCAATGTACTGGGCACTTCACATCTTATTTTTTCTGTAATCCTGATCATCTGTTTCATAAGATCATTGTATAAAGCTCATTTTACAGATAAGGAAATTGAGGCTATGAGAAAAAATAATTTGTGGTCATTCCAGTTAAAATGAGGGAGCCTGATTTTACAATAACCCTGTATTTGTCTGTTTTTAATGACTGCCTTTCCCATTCCACCTTTTATTGAGTGATTCCTGCATTCTGAAAACCGTATTGAGCATTTTGCCAACCTGGTTTATTGGGGTCCGTTCTCGGCGAGATGTGAAAACACGAGGCTGTGTTATTTTTTTTCTCTTCAGTCATTTCAGACATGTGAGGATGGGTCCCCTTCGATGCTAGCTCGGGAAGATTGCCCTGATTTCTGGGAATTTCCAGGGAGTATGAAGTCCACTTCAGCTGAGTTCACACCTTCAATCCCATATCCAATCTCACCCTTACACCCCTCTCTGCCTGTGTCAGGCCTTAGCCTGAGGGACTGGGAATGCAGTGTAGAGGGGGTATCCTGTGGTTTCTCACTGCTGTGGGCCAGGCTGCCCCTTTCTGGGTTCCTCTCTCTTCTGATGTATCAGGCAGGAATGAAATGGAAAATGGCAGAAACCCTTTTTAATTCACTGATGTTTCCGACAGCCCTTTCTTGGCTGTGATGCCGTCAGTCAGGTCCATGTACTGCCTGGACTGCATCAGATGGCCCTACTCCTGGCCCTGAGGACTGTACTCCACAGTCTGGCCGGTGGGATCCCTCTCCTGCTGGCAGCCTCTAGATGGGGAAGGTAGTCAGCGGGGACAACGAAAGCACCCCTCTCTTTCCTCGTATCTCCCTCACCCATGGGAAACACCTGTTGTTTGCCAAATGGAGGTATGGTAGGCTGCTTCCGTTGGCTTCTCTTTCTTTTCCCCATTAGTAACTCTTTCTGGAACCTTCTCCCTCCACTCAGGAATTAGGCTACCTCTGCAAGCGTTCATGGTGGGATGCGATACCCAGCCCCCAATCTCAGTCAGGGTGCACCCTCTTTCCCCAGCTGGGCTTCTGCAGAAAACTTGTCCTTTCTCTTTTTCTTGGAGGAGAGGGGAGGAATAATAACTGCACTATCTTCCTAGGCCAGTTCCTTGCTCTTCTAAGGATTGCCTTTCTTTCTTTTCTTTTTTTTTTTTTTTAAGATTTCATTTATTTATTTGACAGAGAGAGAGACAGTGAGAGAGGGAACACAAGCAGGGGGAGTGGGAGAGAGAGAAGCAGGCTTCCCGCCAAGCAGGGAGCCCGATGCGGGGCTCGATCCCGGGACCCTGGGATCATGACCTGAGCTGAAGGCAGTCGTTTTAACCAACTGAGCCACCCAGGTGCCCCTAAAGACTGCCTTTCAAATTTGTTTCATTGCTTTGCTTCTCAATGGCAGTGACTCGAGTCCTTTCTTAAGTTCTGGCGGAAACGGCTACTCTTGGGGAACGTGGGAGCCTTAGGTCCCTGTTTGTCTTCAGCGTTGGTGCCTTGGCTCCAATCCAGAGGCGACTGGAGAAGTTCCAGGCAACACCTGATGACATGGGCATTTCGTCATTCTGTCCTCGCAAGAATGTGGGGTGGGGGAGGATCTCCATCTTATGAGGGAGGCTGGTTAGACCCACAGTGATGAGGTCCCTTGCCCCAAGTCTCACAGATGGACAATGGTAAGACCCTATTCAAGTTCTGTCAGACTCCAAATGCTTCCTCAGCGAATTTGTCATCCGTGCACCATGTTGCTATCCCCTTGACTGTGCGAGAGGTTGAGACGTGTTTACTTCTAACACTGTGCCCATGCACCAAGTAAGAACTGTGAGTTACGCGTTTTGCTCGCGTCTTCCTTACAGGAACAGATTACCCACTGCGGTGAAATGGAAACCCTCGTGCAGACTGCGGGATCTTCTGGCTCTCCTCCTCTGTGTTTGTCGCCCAGAGCTTCCTTCTTAAGGACGGCCTCCAGTTCCCGGTCCGCACCGTGAATGCTGATGTTAGTGGTGGCTTATGCCGGAAGCGGTGTCTAAAAGCTGCAGTTACTTTAAGATGCAATTTCACCGGGGGCACAGACGGCGTGCGCTTGTGTGTACGCATACGAGTGCCTTCGCAGATGGCTTAAAAATGGTCTCCGTATGCTAATTTTGTTTTCTTCTTAGTTACAGGGATGCAGAAAGGAATTTCCACAATATCTCCAACAGATGCTCCTATGCAGACCATTCCAACAAAGAGGAAATTGAAGACGTCTCCGGAGTTCTTCAGTGCGCTGCTAATGTACTCGGTATATTAACTATATATTAATATGGGTGAGAGAGGATGAGGGGAAGGTGGGAAGTAAGGTATAAGCATTTCATTTTCTACTAATGGGAGGTTTAGAGGTGAAGGCAAAGGAAGATGAAGACCTTGTCTTCAAGTGATTTGATTTCGACACTCCTGGAGATGTTTAAGTGCAAATTACATGCCTGCCATTTACTTCGAGGTTGAAAAACATAGTAATAAGAATACTCACATTCCAGGGAAACCTGGAATTGGTATGTTGGTATTAGCCTCCTGTGATCCATATTTTTCTGGCTCTTAACCTCGACTGAAGTTGGGGGTCTTCCTCTCCGAGCCCATGATTTCTAATATCTTATTATTTCTAATATTATTATCACTCTGTTACTTGTGAGAGGCCGTGGTTGGAGCGGAAGGGTGGCTCTCACGTCCTCCTAGTGGACTCAACAACTCAGAGACAGTGAGGCAGGTCATCTACTGAGATTTTTGTCCCTGCGTGTGCATGTGTCCATGTTGAAGATCCTAGTGTTCATGACAGCAGGACTGTTGCTGGATGCTCCCAACAGGGCTAAGAGGTGATGTTATAAGCTGTACTGAATCATGCTGCCTTAAGGCACCGTGAGTGCTATCTTACTATCCGATGTTCTTGGTGTGGGATAGCTACGTTTTATGATATGCAAAGTAGATATCATTGCAGGGGTATTTTTTGCCCTAATGTCTTACATGGGTTTTTAGTTTAAAAAAAGAAGAAAAAGCTTTTTCAATTTTGGGGGGAATCCTCCCTTTTCCTTATTACTCAGACAGATCTGTGGAATGTTGGTGGGGAACAACAAGTCTTAGTGAACGACTCTGTGTAGAACTCAGAATCCCCTTTCCCTCAGGGTCTGATGATGAAGACCCGGCAAACTTGTTTGCCTGATTTTCTTCTCCCCCTTAGAGTAAGTGCTCTCTTGGGAGACCTTGGGGTCCCTCCTACAAACAGATTCCGGGTGACCTCAAACCATGAGTCTAGGTTTTGCTAGTCCTAGTCCAGGTTTTTCTAAACATACCTGACTCCCAGAGGTAGATCTGGCTTTTACATTGGAGTCTTGATGACATCTACCCAGTGATAACATTTTCATCCTGGGCAAACAAAATATTCTATTAAGAACTTGGGCCTTTTGTGAGGGGTGGTTTGTCTATAATATAAGCAAGGGAGTGATGGACAGTGAAAAGGAAGCCCAAGGATTTATTTACCTTAGTCTTACTACGACTGCAGGGATGTCCTGCTACCCCAGTAAACTTAATTATTGCAGAAGAGGAGGGATGAAAATAACTGGGGGCTGGGGTTTGGCATTACCCAAGAGCTTTTTAGTTTTTTTATTTTCAAGAATTGTCCATCAGTTAAAAAAAAAAAAATAAGGTTGCCAACTTCGTCAAGTAAGGATAATTTGTTAAAGTGATCATGTTTTAATGCCACCATTTTATAAAAGGGACATTTTAACTCTCTCCAAAATAGGAAGGCCTAACCTCCAATAAAAGATGGGCATTTAAATGGAATGAATTTAGGTTGATGATGAAAAAGAAAAAAACCCAGATCCATCACTGACATTTATTGCTCTTGAGACATGGTGGGCTAAGATGATGCCCCATGAAGGGATGCATGAGAATCTTGGCAGAGGGATGTATACGATTTTGAAAAGTGGCTCTTGACTTACTCAGTTTGTAAATATTTCACAAGGAGGCCCTTCACACCTCCTTGCCTTATGCTCCCCACCTTGCCAATGAGAGGGGGTGCGAAGTGTTCACGGTAAATCTATGAGGATGCCAAAGGCATCTGCCCTGGCTTGCACATGGGTGTGCCCCGAGTCCCACAAACTCTAGGTCCAACCGTTGGGTGCGGTAACTACCAGGGGACGCTGTTGACCAAGCACAGCTTCGGTGCCTGTGGGGTTCCCTCAGTCGTGAGCGAGAAGAGCCTCAAGCAGTATTACCTGATGCTATTAGGGAAAGAGTGGTTTTAATAGACAAGAGAGATTAGATTTTTATTTATTTATTAGAGAACAAGAGAGAACATGAGCCAGAGGGAGAAGCAGACTCCCCGCTGAGCAGGGAGCCCGATGCGGGGCTCAATGCTGGGACTCCAGGATCATGACCTGAGCTGAGGCAGATGCTTAACCAACTGAGCCACCCAGGCGCCCTGAGAGGTTAGATTTTATTTTCCCCTTAGTACTAATGGGTTGTTCTTAAAATGTAAAAAGCATAATCTTGTAAAACTTAAATTTCTGAAGAATAAAACCAAATGTCTGCACTCTGTTGACCAGAGACTGGCATGGATCCCACAGGCAACGAGGTGCCTGAGTGTTATCTTTTCTCTTTTGAGTTCTGTCTTTTCGTGACTCTTGCAATATAGACTGCCCAGGACAAAGGTAACAGCTTTACTGGTCAGAGCCAATGAAAGCTTTGTTTTCAACAAGTCACTGAACTATGATTGATCTCGGCTTGCTCAGATTTCCTCTTGTTAAGTGACATTTAAATTCTCCTGTGCAATCATTTATGAGAATGCAAGAATCAATCAACTCCATGAACAGAAGAGCAGGACATGAGAGAGGAAGCCATCGTTTGAGTGAGGGAGTTTGACCTGGGAATAGAGAGTCTCAGCCAGGGTCAGAGAATCCTTCTAGGTGGGTACAGAGGGTGATTTCCCAACCGTATGATTTACATTCATTGCCTTTGGGGAGCATGGTTAGGAGATGGGTGTCTTGGGATGGGGGAATACATACAGCTCTCGTCTTCGTAACAAGGAGGTTGTGGTAGAGACGAGAAATGTGTGTGTTCACTCATCTGTATGTTACTTACACTTCACTTACTATCCAGAAAGATTGAAAGTCCTTGGGTCAGAAAATAGGACTAGCGAAAGCAAATTTTTCTTCTTTCAAAATGATCGTATCTATCAGCTTAGTGTGTATTCCTCTAGAGGCTGGCTTTTTAGGTTGCAGAGAGTGGGAGAAATCTTGCTGCAGAAAACCAGCTTGGCCCCTGCCCTGTATTTGCTTTGTGGCTTCCTCCCTAGGACTCCCTGGAAACATGTGCATCATGGAGTGGTTCATGCCCCTGCTATAGTAACGGGACAGAATCGTTTCCCAATCAACATTTTGCCATTTATTTCTCTCTCTCTCTCTCTCTCTCTCTTTTTTTTTTTTTTTGGCTTAGAAACTGGTTGTTGCTATTTTTTTGCCTCATCATTTACAAATTAGGGATATTAAGTACAGACTGCTCAGAGTCCCCTGTATTTGCCTCAATTTGGCTGGTGCTCTGGACGTCCCTGTGATAATGCGGGACTATACTCCAAAGAGGCTTTTAAACTCTGGGAAAGGCCATACAGAGAAATATAGCTGTGAACTCTGCCCTCCCTGCTGGAGGCTTTCTGTGTGAAATTTACTGCTTTATTTGGAATATATCTTCTGCTCACCAAAATGATCTAATTTTAGTTGCCTGAAAAATTATGGCTTTTCCAGTCGTAATCTGCAAAGCCCATTTTTAGCTCCAATTAAAAGTTGTAAAATGTATTTATATCCTTAGGTGTGACATTGAGTATTTTCTTGGATATCGAAATGCTTGAATGGTACAAAGGAGTATCTATGAGAAGGCGTTAAAGGATCAATATCGTGATCCATGTTTGTTGCTAAAGTGTTAGCACCTGGCCCTGTGGCTTAGGTGATATTGGGGGACAGAGATGGAGGAGGGAGAGTTAAGGGAGAAGGACAGTAAATTGCATAGCTTCCTTACATAATGCAATGCCAAATAAATGAAGGTTTTGGCTATTTCAGTTATTTGTTTTCTTCTGGCTTTTTCTTATCAACCCAGGCAGAGTCTAGGACATTCAGGATAAGCCTGACAACAGAAGGATGGATACCAAACTACTTTCATGCGCTCAATTGTTTCCTTGCAACAAAATAATCCTCTCTGTTCAGAAGGGCATCAATGATGTGTCTCCCTAAATAGGCAAGGTGAAAAGGCCTTAATCAACTCAGCAGTGCCTTCCCCAGCCTCCTTTGAGCCTTGGAGATAGAAAAAAAAAAAAGATGTTAACGTGGCCTTAAGTTTGGTCCTGTACTCTGGTGGGGCTGTTTCAGTCCTGGCCAGTTTGCCTTCTGTTGAAGGGGTTGTGGGTGTGGCATTTGGAGAGTGTCTGGTGATGTAGGATGGAGGAGATGGTGTAGGAAAAAGGTCCTTGCACAGTAGGATAGAAATCAGAACTGAGCGCTCTGGGCAATTCACTTACTGGGGAACGGAGAGCAAACTCGGGGTTGCTGTTTGAGTAACAGCATTTATTTAGCAAGTATTCACAAAGTATAGTTGTCTGCTACTTTTGCTAAGTGCATTTTCTCTCCAAATACTCACAAGAACATGAACGGTGAAAGAATATTCATCCAACCTTTCTCTCTTTTAAAGGTCCTCCGGGAGAGTAGGGCTTTATTGTCTCCAAAGAAACCTTAGCACGTCTTAAGTCAGAATCGGGACTGATGTCATGGGGATATTTGTTGGGAAAGTGCTAATGAGGAGGATGGAGGATCTGGCCTTTGGGGTTAGACCTCATGGCCTCTTCCTGGCATCAGGGACTCTGAAATGCTCTGAATGCAGAGCTCTCTATCACGTGCCGCCCATTCCAGAGTCATTAGCGGTTATAGAGCTTTTTGGTTTTTATAAGCAGTAATTGTTGTTTATAGGTTAACTTGTATGTGCTTTTTGGTTTATATTATGATTTGGAATGTGCATTTAGCAGCCTTCTAAATGACTATAAAACTGTGAAGGATTAGTTAGCCTTACTTAGGGTTAAGATTACCTTGGGGGTTTTCTTGGAATAACTCCTACACATACTCCAATTCACTAAACAATTACACGATTAATGTATTTAGAGTCTTGGAGAATGAGTTGGTGCGATGACCACCTCACATTTTCATTGATGAATTAAGATCAATAGCAACAGATACATTCTACTAATATAATTCTTGTTACTGTAACTTG